AAATGTTTTGAGAATGATGAGGGCAATGAATGCACAAATGCACTTTACACAATTGATGTGTGTATGGATTGTGATAAGAGTTGTATGAGCCCCTAATAAAATGATTTTTAAAAAAGAAAATGCATTTACACACAAAATAAATACATAAAAGTGGCAAGAAAACACTTCAGAAATAACTGAATGGATTGTCCCACTGTAAACACTCATTTCATCACAACTAGATTTATATTACCTGGATAAATGCACAACCTTGTCCTTCCACAGCTATTGTGTATTGTCCAGTTGCTTTTTTTAGTTCTGAACGTTGAACCACCAAGTGGTTGGCCTTGTTGACCTGGAAAATCTTATTAGCGTCTTTACTTCTAAAGGTGACAGTGTTTTTTTGATCATTAGAGAAGGTGAGCTTCATGTATTGGGTTAAGGCGAAAAGACAGACTGCAGTGTCCTGGGCAGAAGAGTACAAACAATGATCAGAACTTTGCTATTACTCATTTGAGCATCACTTTAAGTCACTTCACAGAGATATTCTTAACATAACACAAGGAACAATATCCCGAATAGCAGCAAAATATATTTGCCTGGGCTTAAAAGTTAGTTACTCTTATTTGTGTTTATTTTACCCTCAACTAGTCTTAATTAGCTTTTGGATTTCTAAAGGGTTTTACAGTCTCTGTTACAGAAAACACTGTCAAGTCTTTCCCTAAAAGTTCATCCACTCACTGAATGATTGCCATTGAGTCGATCCCGACTCACGGGGTCCCTAAAGGACAGGGTAGAACTGCCCCTGTGGGTTTCTGAGACTGTAATTCTTTACAGAGTAGAAAGCCTGGTCTTTATCTGGCAGAGTAGCTTGGGTTTTGAACTGGAGACCTTGTAGATTGCAGCCCAAGGCGTAACCACTACACTACCAGGGCTTTAGGCATTAAAATTTTATATAATTCAGTGACCTCATGGATTCTTTGCTTAAAGCTCATACAGAACCATCTTCAAAGAAGGAGAACCAGAAGAAGGGAAGGGTGCGGGGAGATTTACCATCAGTGCTATATTCAGAAACTCAGTCTGAAAAAGAGCACTCAGTGAAGTCTTCCTTTATAGGAATAAAACAGCATTTCTTTTCAAAAGATAACACTTACTCCTTCCTTCTGCTACACATTCTGTCCATCTGCTTTTCCCAATGTACTTCACACACTACACACAGCCACCACCATCACATCAAACCTAATGCATATTGAGTTTATGGAATAGAGTAGAACTACTCCGTAGAGTTTCTGAGTCTCGTCATTCTCTCAAGGAGTGACTGGTGGGTTTGAACCATGAACCTTGCAGTTAGCAGTCCAGAGCTTAAATTATTGTATCACCAGGGCTCTTAGTGTACAGACCACAAAAATGGGAAAAATTCTACTTCAATCCTTTGAGAAGACTATATCATTCACAAAAATGAATTCTTAGTGGAAATGCAATTTGACCGTAGGATCTACTTTTCCATTGCCGTCGGTGTCTCTGACTACAACCTCTGTAGTGATTTTTACTGGGTACATGCAGAAATAAAAACAGGGCATCGGAGGTTGGGTGGGGGGTCATCCAGGCAGTTCTGAGTGATAGTTTACAGAGAAGAACGCTGTCTGGTCATGTGCCATCCGCTCAAGTGTTGCCATATTGGAGCCCTTTATTGCAGTGACTGTGTGAATCCCTTTGGTTGAGGGTCTTCCTCTTTATCGCTGACATTCCACCAAGGATGTTGTCCTTCAGGGACTGAGGTCCTTGAGACAAAGCCATCATCCCCTTATTGAGCATTCTGGCTGTCCTTCCAAAACAAATGTGTTCATTTATTTGGCAATCCACAGTCTAGCCCACATTCTTTTCTGAGACCATCAATCAAATGCATCAATTCTTCTTCACTTTTCCTTGTTCATTTTCAAGCTCTCACGTGTATGCAAATACCAAGTGTGGAGTCAGGGACATCTTAGTCCTCAAGGTGACCATTTTGCTTTTTAGTACTTCCCAGAGGTCTTTTGCACCAGATTTCCCCAACGTAATATATGGTTGGATTTATTGGCTGCTTGTTGTTGGGCATTAATTGTGGATCTAAGTAATCATTGGCAAAGGTAGTCAAATGTAATTATTGGTATCTTTAGTCTTTTCTCCATTGATCATGGTATTGCTCCATTGATCATGGTCCTATTATAAGGATTTTTGCTTCGTTTATGCTGTGGTGCAATTCATATTGAAAGACAGTCTTTAATTTCATCAGCAAGTGCTTCAAGTCTTTTTCACTTGAAGAGGGGGCCTTATTTTATTTATTTCCATACTGAAACTTCCTAGAAGAGTGCTTGAGAGAAAATAACTGCCGGACCAGTAAGTAATTGTTGCCTAAATCAAATAGGATTTATAATGTAAAATGTTCTACCTCTCTCATAAGTTATTTTTTTCTGGGAGTATCTTTGCTATCTGGATAATTCTAGAATAGGATTCCTGCATGACACACATTGGGGTTAGTCTCTGACCTACATCAATTACCTGGGTGGAGGAGAAACCTCCATAGGGATTCATCTTCTGGACAAGGCACTGCAAAATCTTACTGGCATAGGTGAGGTCAGGAGTTTTTTGGGAAATGACAGCCAATAGCACATAGCAAGTCTTCTCATTCCCAGGAGAAGGTGTCAGAGGAAGGAAGAAGGGGGAATGTTTTGTCTTCTTTGCTGTTTCCCAATGTATCATATTATCTGAGGACGAAGGGGTATTTTTTTAAATCAAAGTGTCAAATAAAGATTTTTTTTTTAATTCAGACTCCCTATACCTACTACTGATTAAAATTATGAGGAAGGAAATTCTATTTTTGACCACAAGTAGCAAATTCTTAGTACAAAAACATTATTTTGAAAGCTTTATTATTGTTCATGGTATAGTCCCATATTTGATTTCCGTTATATTACTCATTTGAGAAGAAACTGGTGGAAAATAGAAAGAGGAAAGAAGAAACTGTATAATGATAATTAAAGATAAAGAGCTACTATACATTTTTTCACCCACCCCCACCCCACCCCACAACTGCCAAAAGAATTCTGAAACCCTAATCTCTGCACTTATAAATAAGACAATGATGGGAATCGACCGCTTCTTTTGTTATGTTCATGATGTCAGCCTGGACTAGGGAGGGTCTTAAAACTAGTACCTTCTTAGTGGTGTATGATAAAAAAGGAAAACAGACAATAGAGAGACACACGCCTAGGAGGAAGATAGGTGCCATGTGAAGATACAACTATAAGTATCCAAATCATAAAGCCCAAGGTACACCCAGGACAACCATCAAAGACAAACGCTTTCCTAGAGCCAATACCTTGTAACTGTGAGACAATGGACATGTGTTCTTTAAAGCAGCCCACTAATGGTACTTTGCTGTTGTTATGACAGCACTGGATAAGTCAGATAAAGACCACTGAGAATTTCCATAAGATAAATAGAAACGTATTGATGAAGAGAGGATTTCTATATGATCACTAAGTAAGTTTAATCTGTGAACAGAGTCCCTGTTCTCTTCCACCAAAAGGACAATAATACTTACCTTTTTTGGTGGCTGATTGATCCAGGATCTGGAGTAAAGATTCCACCTGCTCCTTTTTTCCAGCTAAGGCAAATGCATAAGCTAGAATTGCCCGCGTATACTCGTTAGTGACACCACTTTTCAATGCCTCCTCGAGGCAAAACAGCCCGTTTCGTAGAACTGGAAACTAGACAGGAGAAGAAAAGTATATTTAAAAATAATCCCTGAACACTTTATACCTCCAACATTCATTCTTTATAATGTATATAGTACCTCCTTTATACCTCCAACATTCATTCTTTATAATGTATATAGTAATGTAGATTTCCTTGAAGTATACTTCACACATAAGCCTGTTCATATACACATATAGGTGCCAAATTTAAGACATATCGCTAAAATAAATTTCAAATGGCATTATTAGTGCGGTGGAAATAAAAATTAGGTAGTAATAAAATGGTTCAATATCTGATTCCCACTGCAACTGAATTGATTCTGACACATACTGACCCACTTATATAGGATGTCTGAGGCTGTAAATGTTTACAATAGAAAGCAACCTTATCTAAATCTCACAGAGAAGCCGGTGGGCCAGAACTGCTGACTGTGTGATTAGCAGTCCAACATTCACCTGACAGTGCCACACCAACCTGACAACTAAACTTACTTCCACCAATTCTGACTCACAGTGGCCCCGGGGAGCGTAGTACTGCCCCTTTGGGTTTCCGAGACTGTAAATCTTTATGGGAGCCAAAGAGAGACACCATCACCAGGGCTCCCCGTAGCTGATGAGTAATATTTTGATTAACAAAATAACTTTATTCTATGTGACAAAGCATACGTGTGTGCATGTGCGTGTGCATGTGTGTGTGCTGCCGAAGCAAGCATGAACGCATACGCATTTTTATCAGGCCTAGGCCATTTATTCTAGTACCTGAAAATAGAGGCACACATTCCTAGAGATGATTTTTGAGACATAGTAATAATCCCGAACATTCCTACTATCTTAGTTTAGAAGTAGATTTCAGATTCAGATAATCTGACCTATATATTGAGAGGTAGCTTGGATAAACCACATTCAAGTTAAAGATGTTTATACACTGGTTTCATAAGAGAACTAAAATACTCGGTTATGGCTATATTTGGACCTCAGGTTCCTAATTTGAATTTTTGGCTGAACTTGCACAGATATGCAAATATTAAATGCAAGAAAACTGTATGCCCATGTGTATTGTATCTAGGGGGAAAATGCATACTTTCCCTCCTAGGTATCTATGATCTGGAAGGAGGAATTGCTTTAACTGAAAGGGCCACAATGAGCAAAGTGTTCTCTTGACATTTCAACGAGGCCGAGAATGTCAAATGACTTAACACATCAGTCTATTGACTGTGCATCCTGCTGCCTGAGACCCAGAGAGGATGGTAATCCATACAGTGGCATCGAGTCCGGCTTCAAGAAGAGCTCCAACAACATAGGCAGTGAGTGAAACATCAGCGTCATCTCCACCCTGGAAACAAAGAAACAATGAGTCATGCAGGAGAGTGGAGCGTAAAATAATAGCTATTCTTCTGAAGGGAAACAAGAACTACTAGGACTACTATCACTACCCACAAATACTAGAAGATATATAATTTTCAAATGATAGGATTAAAAGCTATGAAGCTAGCAATCATTCATCAAGATCTAATGCTATAGTACAATAAAACTAACCCCAAGTCTATTTAATGACATAAATATTACTATTTGTATACGCCAGTCTGAATCTGTTTCAGATGACTATTCATATGACTCTGACTTTATTTGGTATCAACTAAAAGAAGAAAACAAAGATTTTCAGATTGGGGGGATGGTTGTGAAACTTCCTGAAAATAAAAATAAAAAACCAACGTGCTGCCATCGAATCTATTCCAACTCGTAGTGAATCTGTAGGACAGGGGAGAAGAGCCCCTGTGTGTCCCCGAGCCTGTATGTCTACAGCAGACAGCCTCGTCCTCTTCCCTCAGAGCAGCTTGCTGGTTTGAACAGCTGACTTGGCATTTAGCAGCCCAACACATAACCCCCTACACCACCAGGGCTCTGTGAGAAAGTTACCATAGGAAGTTACAATAGTCAAGTCGTATAGGTTCTTAGAGTGTAAATTTAGTAAGACATACATAAATCATGTGCTTTGCAAATTGACTGGGTATCAACATTCCCTAATGAATTTAAAAATACCAGAAGTCATACAAGAGATCCTGACTCATGAAGTCGGGAATAAAATAAAAGGAAATGAATTTTAGTGGATGCCCTAATAATTCTGATGCAATGGCAGATATGTTGGCTTTGGGGAATCAACTGATATAGCCCAAACCTCTACTTGTCTCTATTTTAAGCAAACGCAAGTCTTTCTCCTCCTCGGAAAAGACATGTTTTTGAGATCAGTTTTCAAGGGGCAAGTAAGCACAGGTGATGAAACCTCAAATAAGCTATGGCAGCCAGACCCAGTTAGATCATCTCCAATCCAGACTCAGTCAATTTTATCCTGAATCCCCTGCAGTCAGAGTTTTCCTTTTTCCATCGCTTCTTTGTCCCTCACGACAAAACACAGCAGAACACACACATGCACATTTCAGTATGGCAAGAAGGATTGTCTAAGCTCAGAGAAACTGAAGCACTGACTAGTTATGAGTCCAAGAAGAAGGGAGATATGAAGAGATCTTCCAGAAGAAGACATGAGGAAGTCAATGATTCTCCTAGGTAGGAACAAGGGCTCTTCTGATTGCGAAGGTTAGGTTTGGAAAACTTTAAACGCATTTCCCCATACCACATAAGAGCAAAGAACTCTGAAACAAAGTGCATTAAGCTAAATACCATGAGTTTCTATTCCTTTACATTTTGTAGTGGATTCATTTAGTCCGTTTCCTATTCCAAAATCTGAGAATAGGAGTGGTGATTATGAAGAAGAACCAAGAGGACACACCCAGGGCATTTCAGGGCATACCAAGAAACCCCGGTGGCGCAGTGGTTACGGATTAGGTTAGTAACCCCCAAGTCATCAGTTTGAAACCACGAGCTGCTCCCTGGGAGAAAGACTTGGCTTTCTATTCCCATAACGACTTACAGTTTTGGAAGCTCACAGGGGCAGTGCTACACTCTCCTGTAGGGTTCTTATGAGTCCAAATTGATGTGATGACAATGAGTTTGGTGCTTTTGAGAGGGTCTACTCTCAAAAACCTGCAGGCGAGTTTGCGCATCCAGAAGGAAACATAAGGGGGTGGGGAGGATAGAGGGAGAGGCCTGTCTTCCTCTTTCCATTTCCTCGGATTTCCCGCTGTGAATTTACCTCGAGAACCACTCCCTGCCTGCAAAGAAAGGACGAAGGGAGGGAGGAGGCTTCGCGAATTCTATCTGAGCAGCAGAAGGAAAGAGGGTGGGACCCCCCAAGGCCACCCTTCACCTCCTTTGGATTGTGGTGCAGAGCAGCTTAGCCGTATGCTCTTCTTTGAGAGGGCATTGGAAGAGGGTGCACTGTGGAAACATTGGTCTAAATACTCCCCCCAAACTTTCTCACCAGCCAAGAATAGCTCACTGCCATCCAGTCGATGCTGACGCTTGTGACCCTCCAGGGCAGGGTAGAGCTGCTCTGGTGAGCTTCTGACTCGAACTCTATGAGAGTAGAAAGTCCCAGCTTTCTGCCCCAGCCAAGACTAGGAATGAATGACTTTCTCAAGTTCACCCTCTTAATACATTGGATCCAAATTTATATTTTTTCTCTAAATCCCCTTCTCTCCCTCTTCTTTATTTCCAACTTGCTTACTTCCTGGTTCCGTAGAAGAACGAAACTACACTCCATGGAAAGCTGCAGCACATTAAGAGAAACGTCCCGAGGAGTTAAAACTCAGCTGTGGTAACTCTACTTGCAGCAGGAATGACACTAGTGTCCACTATACCACAGGCATGAGACGATGCAGAAGAAGATACCGTCGCAAGGAACACCTTCCCGTTTCAGATCATGAAAAACAGGAAGGGAAAGTAGACCAGGCCAGGAGCCAGGAGAGCACAGCGTCCCGTTAGTCACTCACCTCCCAGGCATTGTTGAAAGATTTGCCATCACTTTTAAAGCAGCCGTTACGGTCTTGTTTGCTTGACAACCAGATCAAGGTTTGCTTTTGAACTTGTTCATCAATGTAAGCATATTTCTTTATTCTCTCCAATGTCTTAAAAGTAAGGGCAGTGAGCCTGGAACGCAAGTCACCAGAGCACAAGTTAGGTAAAAAAGAACAAGAAAGAGAAAGGAGAGGCGCACAATCATGGCTCCCTTTGAATCATGGAGAAGTCTAACTTATCTAATGTTGATTGGAACTCCTCTCTCGTTGCCATCAAGTTAATTCCAACTCTTAGAGGCTCAGTAAGACAGTAGAACTGCCCTTGTGCGAATCTGAGACTGTAACTCTTTACGCTAGTAGACCTCATCTTTTTCCCAAGGAGTAGTTGGTAGATTTGAACTGCTGACCTTGTCGTTAGTAGCCAAACATGTAACCCACGACACCACCAAAACTCCTTTGGAATTAGTCTTCCTTAATAACGTTTCTTTGCTGTTGGTTAATAAAATCTCATATAAAATCTCATGAACAGCAATATCTGTTTAATCCAAAGTCTTTGTCATATAGCCTATTAGATTATCCATGCATGGAATCAATGAGTGTAGCTAGGTGGTTTGTGCCTCTGTAGTCTCTCTTGAATCTACATACGATCCAGTAAAGAGCAAACTTCTATGAACCGTTCATTATGGAGTTTATCAGTTGTACAAAGATGAGGGCTTAATTTCACACATGCCTGGGTTTATTGCAAACAAAATGAGCTTGGACATATTTCTGCAATCAATAGAGGGCTGCAAACACATTCCCTCAGTTCTTAGCCTCATTAAACAAACAAACACAAAACTCACTGCCATAGAGTCAATTCTGACTCTTAGCAACTCTTTGAGTAGAACTGACCCTCTGAGGATAGGACAGAGGAGAATGGCCTCTGTGGGTTTCCTAGACAAACAATAAACAAACAAAAATGCATTTGGTGAGAATGGGGTGGGAGGGCGGGGTTGGAGCAGAGACCCAAAGGCCATCTGTGGCTGATGGAACATCCCCCCACAGAGGGGTTGCAGGGAGTGGATGAGTCAGTCAGGGTGCAGTAGAGCACCGATGGATCACGCAATATACCTCTGATCCCTTGAGGCTTCCTCACCCCCTACTATCATGACCCCAGTGTCGCTTCCCACTCTGGACTAGATGGGGGCATGTACACAGGTATAGGCAAGGGAGAAAACTCACAACACATGGAGCCCAGCAACAGGAATGGGAATAGTGATACCAGAAGGGTAGGGGGAAGGGGGGAGAGGTGGAGAGGGAGGGGAGGGCCAATCGCAATGAATGGCACATAACCACACACCCCCGTCCAGAGGGAAGAACAGCAGAAACCAGAGGGGAAAGGAGACAGCGGTCGATGTGAGATTTGAATATAATTAGCCCCTATAATGTATCAAGGGGCCACAAGCGTTGGGGGGGAGGGTAGAGGGAGGGGAAAAAAAGAGCTGATCCCAAGAGCTCAATGGAAAATAAATGTCTAGAAAAGAATGATGGAATATATGTCCTAATATGTCAGATACAATTGATGTATGGATTGCAACAAGAGCTGTAAGAGCTCCCAATAAAATGATCTTTTTAAAAAAATCGTATTTCTTAAAGCTATTTTACACCACTTCATTTGTATAAAAAAATCCCCTTCTTTCCACATCCAGACTTGATGCTAGAAAAACACTCTTGTAATTATTCATGGTTGCTCACAGATAAAGAGCTCAAGTCTAGGCATCTGTGAAAACTTTCTAAGGCACCATAAAACGTTTAATTCAGGTGTTTTACTTTTGATCAAAGTTGTGGACAAATTTCTATATTACAAAATCCAAGTTGCTTCCAAATATCCATCACACTCAACCTTCCTCACTTCCTGTCAAGCCTTGTCCAGGGAATTCCTATCATTATTTAAAAATAAATCTTCATTTCTCACCATATGTTTCCTTGCCGATCCTTCTGCCAAAACACACTATATGAGCCATCAAAGTTCCTAAACGACAACTGCTTTTGATAACCTAAAATATGTAAGATAGAGAAAAATTAGTTTTTATTTCAAGAAATTAGAAGAAAGAGAAGGGTGTAATGAATGTCCTGGGTGTACGTTGTTAGGATTTTTTTTTCAAATTTCTGGTTCTCTATAAAAAATTTTTAAACAAAAACAAAAACTCCAACATGCTAGGTTTTTGATGACAATAAGATACTGCATGTGAATATACTTAGCTCGGTAACTAACTGGCTCATAATTGACAGTTACTAATTGCTTAATACTTTTTCCTTCAAGGTTATTTTACTTCATTGTTATCTGTTTGGGAAGAAAACTCAATGAAATGATGTCTCTGAATACTATCCTTAAGATCACATTTTCTAAGGTTCCTATGTTCTCTTTTACAAACACATCTTATCATTTCACTTTGATGGAAAACAACTGAGCAGACAAACACAGAGCTGAAAAAAATAAGCCTTTTACAACTACTACCACTACCAAGAAAAATCATATTTTACCTAAATATTGAGCATTTACCCCCCAAACAGCTGAGTTTATAATTGGATGCTACTAAGTTAAATGTTAAAATGGGCAATGAGCACAGATATTTTGAAAACATTTAGGTGAAAAAGAAAGGACAACTAAATTTGCACTCAGTAGTTCAGTTAATACCCACTCCCCCCCATCAGACTACCTTATAATGACAGATTTCTGACATGTTCGTACTAACAAAAATTGACTGCATCTATGCTGCACAGAAACGATTTACATCTTCTCACCACTAGATAAGAAAGAGACCGCTTTAGACTTCACATCCTCAGTCAGCTGCTGGGTGGAATTCAGATAGTCCAGGACATAGGTGTCCGACGCTAGCACGGCAATGTTCTGCTCTCCGTATCCAGAGGGCACGTGGAGGAGATTCTCTAGATTCTGCATTGCATGGCCGAGGATGTCTCCTGCAGTCAGGGACATTTTAAAAATCAGAACAGCTTTTGAATCAGCATTCATAAACTAAAAGAACCAGATTGAGAGGAAAAAACATTTAAGTTTGAGTTCAAAAAATTTGAGAAGGTAATTTCAAAGGGAAGCTCGCTATGAAAGGTGAGCTAAAGAGATTTCTGAAACCCCTTCAGCTTTGCCATTTACTAGGGGGAGGGGCTAGTTAGGGAGGTGTGTTTGTTTGTCTGCTTGCTTGTTTTTGAGAAACCGACAGTAGGAATGGGCTCCTTATGAATTGTAATCCCTTCCTTCCTGAACCTAAAAGTATTCGTGTCAATGATAGTCAAGATGAAGTTTGCCTTTTGTTTTAAGTGTGGTTTCTCCTTTTACAGAAGTTCCTAGTATCTCGAACAGACAAAGTTTATTCTGATTTGCCGAGGTGGGTAATTCAGTGACTCGGGTCATTGGGTTCTAATGGAACACTCTATTTTCTGAACATCATTAATCATCTACCACAACTCATGTTTCATAATGGTTGGAAAAAGCATTAAGGTTCAAATCCCTTTGGTTTTGAAATCAAATCCCTTTGGGAAACACACATAAAAAATGATCTTGACCAATGACTTCTTCTAGATGGTAGCTGAAGAGAATTTCTCCATTCTGGTATTTTAAGGATTTTTGTTTTTTAACCACCTTCACCAAGATTTTCAAATCATTTTGAAACCCAAAATTTCATCAACTTACCCACAACAGTAAAGAAGGCCTTGGCCGATCCTTTTACTGCATTGTTAGGTAAGTTCAGAACTATCCGTCTGGTGGTTTTGGTACCTGGAAAGAAAGTATCACCCCAAGAGAAAGTGATCATTCCTTCAGCAAACAGTAGTAACCGACTTGGGGAGTTAACACATTAGGAGTCATGTTCCTCTAATTATTTTTATTCTATATGTTATCTTGTTAGAAGACACAAAATTGAGGTTTTGTGCTAGTTCCGCATAACAAAATATCTAAAAGATGATATATAAATGACGTGTAAGATGATGGCCCCATTCTCAGATAATTTATGGTGGAAATGGTTATTGTCTCAGTTGTTAATCATGAAGTTAGAGGTCTGGGTCCATCCCAGGCAACTCAGAAAAACAGCCTGTTGATCTCCCTCCAAAAAAAAAAAAAAATCAGCTAGAGCTAAACCGATGGAGCGCAGTTTTACTCTGATCCACTTAGGATCACCACCGGTGAGATTCAACTCGATGACAAATGGTTTTTAAAATGATTCCACGTAGGAATAATGTGCAAACATGACTTATCATGACATGCAAGGGCACGCACACAAAATCAAGTCTGAAGTCATAAGGAGCCCGGGTGGCCCGCTGGTAGGGAAGTGTTGGACTATTAACTCCAAGGTAAAGAGTTTAAAACCACCCACCCCTCTGTGGGAGAAAGGTGAGGGTATCTGCTCCCATAGCGAATGACAGCCTTGGAAACCCTCTCTGGGTTCCCTATGAATTGGAGTAGACTTGGTGGCAGCAGGCTTGGCTTTGGGTTTGGTATTAGGCATGATCAGCAGAGCACCAGCACGACAGTACTTGTGATGCTCATAAAGCAACAGATTGAGAGGCAATGATTCATCCATTGGTTATCTCACCACTGGAGTATAGGAAACAAGCAAATCATTAAATAAATAATACTGTTTGCCCTCAAGTCTATTTTGACTCATGACATACTCATGTGTTAGAGAGTAGAACTGTTTCATAAGGTTTATTTGACTGGAATCTTTATAGAAGCGGATCCCCAGGTTCCTGGGTGCTGTGGGTGGGTGCTAACAGCCAATCTTTATTTTTATTAAGAGATCATTTGATTGGGGGCTCTTACAGCTCTTATAACAATCCATACATCAATCTTTGGGGAAGCAGTCGAGCACAAACTGTGCCACCCATCAACTTTAAAAGCACAAAACCAGAGATCACATTATGTATTACTGGGCATAATCCTGATTTTCCACTATCCAACGTGTGTGACAATAAAAACCAAGAATATACATTTGGAAAAGGTAGGTTGAAATTGACCAAAGTCATCGATGAATTGGGGGAAAAATCATAAATATACAGCGTGTTGACTAAACTTATGCAATGAGAACAGGGCATGAAATAAAATAATCCTCCATGAGAATTATAAAGTCACTAAGGTACATAGTATGCTAAGTGGCCTAATGTGAAAGAAAAGGGAAGAAACTGATTGTTGATAGATGAGAAGGCTTCAACAATTTGATGGAAAAATAGAATTAGGAGATAATGGAATTTTCCAATGAACTTTTGAAGTCATCTCATATGTTCTTAAGGACTAATTTGACAACAAAAGCAATTCTCTTACCTTTTGTACATATCAGAAAGCTCCGAGTAATTTCTTTTTCAATACCTTCAGGCTGTCGACAAGAACACATAAACAAACATGAAATCATGTCAGTGGGTCATTTTTCCATAAAGGAAAGGTCATTATCTTTCCCTGATGGAAAGGTGATCCAGCATCAGCTCCCTTAGACAGGGAGGGTACATGTTTGTGCCTCGGAAGAGATCCCTTTCTTGCCCCAGCTTTTGTTTCGAGCTGCACATAACTGTACATAATCCACCCCTACTTTAGGGTGAGAACAAGGGTGGCCTCTGTGCTATTGTGGGACACGCTCAACTCCTCTGCTCCTCTGTAGGCGATCAGTTAACAAACAAATGTTTTCTGGCCTATGCAGAGGCCAGAGGAGAATGTTCCTTTGAAAATTGTTCATACTTTTTGAGTATGATGGGGACCGCACAGAAGTCTTGAATTTGAGATATGGTTTTTTAAAAAAAGGATATAGGGTAAGTGTATAAGGAATGTCATGAACTAGGTTCCAATGAAAAATTATAAATACTTACTTCAAGTATTAATTTTCATGATTTGGGGCCAGTTATTAGTTTTAGAAATGATGAATTTGATTGCTGGGTTTTTGGGGGTATTTTTGGTGTTGTTCTGTGACAATCTTTATTTATATTATTTACATTGTGTCAATATTCTTGCTATTTTTGCTCCAGTTGTTTCATCCCAATAATTTAAACTCACTGACCCCTACATTTACCATCCATGCTTCAGAAAATTACTGTTGTTCATTTTGTTAATTTTTATCATGGTTATTTTTAATATATCCCAACAGTTTTATTGGCACATAATTCATATATCATACAATTGAACATTTAATCATTCAATGACATCAAGGGGAGTTGTACAATCACCACCACATCTATCTTGGACCCTCCTCCTGGCCCCGCATGGTCACATTGCCTTCAAACTGAGCTGTGCAGTCACTGTCTGTTCGAGTGATCCCTCCCCCTTCATGCTGATTGCTGTTTTAAGTAATTTAAAATGGATTGTCTTGAGTCAAAAGTAACTAGGGCCACTTAATGAATTTTTCTCCAAACAAGTCTTAATATTTAACTTATTATATACATATAGTATGTTTATTATCAGGACGATCTTGGCAGTCTTGCACATACATACCTCAACCAGTAAACTTTTGACTACTGTGTCTTTCCATCTTACATTTTGCTGCTTAGTTGCTTGATTTGGGCAAGCATGACTTTGTTTAGATTCAGCAACTGCAGTGATAGTCACTTTACCTGGAAAACATCCCCAAACATAAATTAAATTGCCCTCTTCCTTTACTGTAGTAGGAAATGAGAATTTGTGAACCATTTCTCGGATTTGTTGACCTGCGTCCTATCATCATTCTGATGCCTAGACCAATGTCAGTTGTAGCTTCTCCTGCTTAGAGATAATTTAGCATATTTTGGATTACCTATTCTAATTTTTCTTATATTAAATAAATGTTCATTAATTTGATTAGAATATAATAAATTTAAAGAAAAAAATGACTTTCCTTTAATAAAGGAAAGCTAACTAAGGCAATTAAAAATCATTTTATTGGGGGCTTGTACAACTCTTATCGCAATCCATACATACATCCACTGTGTCAAGCACATTTGTACATATGTTGCCATCATCGTTTTCAAAGCATTTTCTTTGTACTTGAGTCCTTGGTATCAGCTCTTCATTTTTCCCCTCCCTTTCTCTCCCTCCCTCCCTCTTCCCTTCCTTCCTCCCTCATGAACTCTTGATAATTTATAAACTATTATTATCTTTTCATCTCTTGTACTGTCCAATGTCTCCCTTTACCCCCTTGCCTGCTGTACATCCCTCTGGGAGGGGGTTATAGGTAGGTCATTGTGATCAGTTCCCCCTTTCTCCCCATACCTTCCCATTCCCCTCCTGGTATGCTACTCTTAATTTTGGTCCCAAAGAGTTTATCTGTCCTGTATTCCCTGTGTTTCCAGCTCTTATCTGTACCCATGTACATGCTCTGGTTTAGCCAGATTTGTAAGGTAGAATTAGGGTCATGATAGTGGGGGAGGAAGCATTAAAGGACCAGAGGAAAGCTGTATGTTTCATTGGCGCTATCCTCTCCCCAGGACCCTTCTGGAAGGGAATGTCCAGTTGCTTACAGATTGGTTTTGGGCCTTCACTCTGCACTCCCTCCCTCATTCACATTATGATTTTTTGCTCTGGGACTTTGATGCCTAATACTGATCCCATTGACACCTCATGATCACACAGGCTGGTGTGCTTCTTCCATGTGGGCTTTGTTGCTTCTCAGCTAGATGACCGTTTGTTTATCTTCAAGCCTGTGCTTGAAGCACAGATGCTATATCTTTTGATAGACAGACACCATCAGCTTTCTTCACCACATTTCCTTATGCACCCACTTTCTCTTCAGTGATTGTGTCGGGAAAGTGAGCATCTCAGAGTGCCGGATTATTAGAACAAAGTGTTCTTGTGTTGAGGGAGTACTTAAGTAGAGGCCTAATGTCCATCTGCTTTCTTAATACTAAACCTACAAATATATGTACATAGATCTATTTCCCCATCCTTATATATAAATACATTTACATATGTACATGCCTGTATTGAGATCTCTATAAATGCCCTTGGCCTCCTAGTTCTTTCCTCTATTTCCTTTTACTTTCCTCTTGTCCCGCTATCATGTTCAGCCTTCACTTGGGTTTCAGTGGGCAGTGTCTTAATATTGATTGTTTGTAAACAGTGCTAAGTGGCAATAAAGGCTGCTTAGTATCATCAGACAACTAGGGTACTAATTTTGTGTAAGCACAAGTCAACAAAAATAGTAAAATATAATAAAATTAAAAGTACCCTGGACTGAAATCACATGCTAGGAAGAAACTAGTTGCCTTTAATCCCCTATAACATCATAGGTTCTGAAACTTAAGCTGATCTTTAGTTTTTTTTTTGCGTGAAGTTTATCGAAAAAGCTAACTTTTTAGGTTCATCTTTACTTAGATACTTGTAGACCAGTATACTGACCTTGAAGTTTATTTTGGTAGCTTGTTTGGATTTATTTGTTTGTGTTCTCACCATAGGTGCCGAACAGTATGCAAGTCAGTACAGTGTCCTCTCTCAACTGGCAGAGTCATGTTCTAAAACATTTCATGTAGTAGGAAATTTAAAAAACTTAAGGTCTTAGGATGAACCTTGAAAACAAGCTGAGTGAAGTAAGTCAACTACAAAAGGTTAAATCATTGTATGGTTCTATTTATATGAACTACCTAGAATATACCTAGGATGGATAGTCAAACATACAGAGATCAAAATTTAATAGTAATAACAAGGGACTGGGGGAAGGGAAAAGTGTGATCATTGCCCAACATTAAGTTTCTATTTTTGGTGATGGGAAATTTGGCAGAGGATATTGGTGATGGTCATACAACATTATTGATATGATTGGCTTGAATTGTACATGTGGAAAATGATGAATTGACAAATGTGTTTCCTATATTTTTACAACCACAAAAAATTGAATTGTAAAAGTAGGCTGAGACAAACTAAATATCCCAGGTGAACTAATGTGATCTCATAAGTATGCCCTTTTATTGCTAAAACATCATGAAAATGAAAATCAAATAGGTAAAAATGTAATGGCATATATATATATAAAGTGTGGTAATGAGTATTGTGCATCTATATAATCTAGCATCTTTTATTTACTATATATTTCCCTTTCCAATATTTTTAGCAAGGTACTTCCAAGTTTATTTTTCCATATTTCAGATAATATGTGCATCGAGACAACTGTTTTCTTGGTGTTTGATCTTCATCCACATATTCTGTAATTTTGTTGTCCCATGATATATTTTGTAAATTTTCAAATTCTAGAAATTCCCACAACTGGTGATAATGGTGGACAACTTTTGTATTTTTGAATTACAGTCGGTGAAAGAACAAGTGGAGGAATTAAAAACTTGGACCACAAAAAGAGCATTAATGGAAATTTGACCCTAAGAATTGATTAGTACTATGATGAATTGTATTTCAATTGCATTATGCTTTTATCCAATAAGTGCCAGTTTTGCTCTATGGATACACTAGCATCAGAGAATTATAGGAGAAAAATCAGATTTTTAAAAAATGGACAATAAAGAAAAAAGCAGCTAAACATATTAAGGAGAAAATTCCATTTGTGGAGAGGAAGTAAGGAAAATAAATAAAGGCAATTAAAAATGGACTGTTTTCCATGACAGATTAAGCACGACTTGCTCACCCAATGTCTTAGGTATGATCGTCCAGACATACGCTTTCTTCTCCCCAGGGTGGATGATCTCACTCCCATTGCTTGGCAGGGCATTACTACGTGTCTCATAATTCTCAGATCCTTCTAGTTGAACAGAGACCTGAAAGAATAATTCAGACAATGGAGAGCGCACGTTACTTTGCTGTTGCTATTCTCTTCTTGAGGAAAAGTGGTTTTATCCATTTTATTTTAACTTGGCAGAATGGAGAGACACCAACGACCTTTCACACCAGAAAAGCCATATCATTATGAAATGCCATGGCCACTACTCCTCCCCTCCCGCCTCCCACTCCATTCCCACAGAAACAAAAAGCAAAACTGTTTTCATGGAGAAACTGGATCCAACTCAGAGTTCCCTATGTCTGTGAAAGTCAAACTAGGCTCTATATGGTTTTCCAGCTGAATTTTTGAGAACTAGATCAACAGGCCGTTTTCCTGAGGCACCTCTGTGTGGTGAGCACATTAACCAGTTGCATGGCTCAGAGATAATGTATTCTAATGAAACCCAGACTTAACCTAACTCAGCACTGTCGATTCAATCCCAACCCATTGTAACCTTCTATAGGGTCTCTGAGACTGTAAATCTTTATGGGAAGAGTCTACTCTTTCTCCCACGGAGCAGCTGGTGGTTTGAACCACTCACCTTGTGGTTAACAGCCCAATGCCTAATTCTGCATGAAAGCAGCATGTAAATCATTGCTGAGAATTAAAACAATTTTTTTTAATGTGCAGAATATGGAGAGATGTCTCATTACAGTCCATTTGCATTTGGGAAGACAAGCTCAAAGGAAACAACTTACCTCTGCACATGTATTCTGGTAGTTAAAGACACTGGCGATCACATCAAATTGTTCTTTTTGAATCATTGAAATGGGTAAAGTAATATCAACAAAGAAATTCTGAAAAGTTCGCAGATTCACTGCTGATGAAATGCCAAATCCAACATCACCATTCACACAGAAGCCATTTGTCTCCCATTTGGTTATCGTATCAGGAATGCGGTTTGAAATATTTGCTGAACCAGAGGAGCTACAAAGAAAGAATAGTGATTAGATAAATTCATTCTCTGAAGTGGCCATCTAGAGGTATACTGGAGTCCTGCTGGCATAGTAGTTTACTCGATGGGCTGCTAACTTCTAGGTCAGCTGTATGAAACTGCCAGCTGCTCTGTGGGAGAAAGAAGAGGCTTTCTACTTCCATAAAGAATTATAGTCCCATCAACTCACAGGGGCGGTTCTATCTTGTCCAGCAGGGTAGCTATGAATCATCATTGACTTGAGGACAGTGAGCTTGTTTTTATGTGTTTGTTTATAGTTATACTAGTGCAGAGAAGAATAAGGAAAAGTATTCGTTGCAGGTTAAAAATGCATTATAGTTCACAAAGACAATGTTCTGCATTCTTCTTTGGTGAGTAGCAATTGGAGTCTTAAAAGATTGGTCTTTCCCTGTCCACAGTAAAGAAAGGTGAAGAAAGTCAAAGCCAAACTCACTGCCATCGAGTCGATTCCAACTAAAAAATGACCCTATATAGGGTTTCACAGACCATAAATCCTTATGGCGGCTGATAGCCTCATCTTCCTCCCCCAGAATGACTGGGGGGTTTGAACCAATAACCTTGCAGGTAGCAGTCAAACACCGGATCGGTAACTTTTAAGAGAGAATTAGGAAACTTTAGCCACCTTCAACAAACAGAGTGATGCAATCCCGGGAAATAAGAGGTCAGGATGTAAAGATCACTTAAGAAGATTAAATCAAGAGGTATATGATTGGTCATAACCAACCACTCTGGTCCAGGTGTAAACCATTTGAGAATATGTGCACACTTTGCTTCTATAGCCAATGACAGTCATAAAGCAAAGCCCAGGAACAACAAAAGCAAACAGCCCCGCCCCCCGCCAAGCCTATCACCATTAGTTGATCCCAACTGATGGTGGCCCTTTGTTACTTTTCGAAGATTTCAAACTGACGCCGAACCTATCCACAATCAGTCATTAACACCCACCTTTCCCTTGTGTTTCAGTATATAAACACCAATTGGTAAGGTAACTGGGAAAAAGTCCTCACAGTGCAGTGGGTTACACATCGGGCTGCTAATCACAACGTCAGCAGTTTGAAACCACCAACCGCTCAAAAAGATGGGAAGGGTGGCAGAAAGATGAAACTTTCTACTCCCCTCACGGGTGAGGCCTGGAAACCCACAGGAACAGTTCTACTCTGTCTCAGGGAGGGTGGGCTCGAGGGCAGTGAGTGGCAGAAGGTAACTGGGTCGACAGAGAAAGCAGAGCACGTGTCTTCAATTCTGTCTTCTCAGCCCACCGAGTGGTGTCTAAAAATCCCTCCCTAACACTGCCTACATGTTAAGCAGGCTCTGGGCACCAGCACGCGTTTTACAAAGGCAGCACTGTGTATGTGCACCAGAATCATGGCGCAGAGGAGAAAGAAGTGTGTTAAGGGCTCACTTGACGCTGACGAGGTCCCATATCCATGTTTCTGGGAAGTTTTTTCTTACTGTTTCTATTACCAGGTCTTCTGCATATCCAGAACTTGCTGCTGCACCCATGCCAACTAAGAGAAAAGACAGAGGATTTATTTAGAAGGGGTGCTAATATGTAATTCAACAATGCACGCCTAGATGCTCGGACTTTAACCACACGTGCTTAGGGCACATTGGTGTGAAACAGTATGGGGATTTACCATATTGGTATCTGGGACTTATTGCCAGGAAATGTGTATATTTCAACTTAGCCATTAGCATGCACACCAGTACACACCTCTCCCATTTTAAAACACAAACAAAAATTTTCAACCTGCAGTGTTTCCCGGCAGCCCAAGTTGGACAAAGCCATACCTATGAGTATTCTTTTTCTCATCTGGTGTCAGCCCGAATGCAGTCTGGTGCCTACCAGCTCTACGGTGCTAACAGTACTTTCCTATTCCCAACCACTAGTTCGTCAGACTGTGGTGACACGTGTATTGCTAGCATGTTGGAAGCAACACATTAAAAAGTACCACTGGTATTTGAAGTATCAGTAGTTCACCCATGGTGGACATGTTTCAGTGAAACTTTCAGATTAAAGGAGTCTAGGAAGAAAGGCTTGGGATCTACTTGAAAATTATCCAATAACAGTCTAATGGAGAAGAACCTCAGATGATACAGCACTAGAGGATGAGCCTGCTAAGTTGGGAAGCAGCAATGGACTCAAGACATGTTGGCAATTACGAGAAGAGGCAGGGCGAGCAGTGTTTTGTGCTATTGAGCATGTTGTTGATCAGAGTCAGAGCTGACGTAACAGCAGCTAACAACCACAATATGACTTTTGCGAAAGTTGCCCATGTTATTCACATTGCCAGTTCTCAGGAATGTTTCTTTCGCGTGGTTGACTTCCAGGTTGCATGAGACAGTCACTGTCGCTTTGGTGAAATTCCCCACCACCACTTCCTTCTAAATTTTCTTCTATTTTCCATCCCCGAGTCTCCTTGATCATTTCCTCATCCTTGACTTGTTCCTAAAATCTCTGACTTAGGTCTTCTTTATGCTCTACGTTGTCTCCCCTATTGTGTCTTCACACAATACTTCTGCTGATGTCACCTGCAGCAGTGTCTTCCATCTGGTCTCTTTCCTAACTTCCGGGCCTGTGCTTCCAACATCATTGTATATATTTATTTTTGATGTTTTACTGACATTTTAAATGTAATGTTTTGAAAAGTAAACTCATTAGTTTCCCCTTTTACTCCTTTCACTATCTCCCACCTCCATAAACGGTGCCTGAATTCACTAACTTACCCAGGTCAGAAACGTAAGATTAAAGCAAATGCTTGCTTTTACCATAACAAGCCAATTAAAAAAATAACTATTAAAACTTGAAAATAAGTCTCAAATCTGCTCATATTTTTTTCATCTTGACTGTTTTTTTCTAGTCATCCAAGCCACTTCCAACTCTCAACTGATTAGCAAATATTTTTTAAGATTTCATACATATAGTCTTAACTCCAAGCCCAGTCCTTTTTGCACCAGAGAAGACAAAAATACTTAAAATCACAACTTTGACTGTCTGTTAACATTTTTACTGGTGTATCCTTCTATTAGGATTAATTCCAAACTCATTATACATCCTAAAGGTTTTGCATGGCCTGTTTGTCTCCCCCTTGCCTTTGAAGCATACACTACTGCCATTTTGAAATATTTTTAATTTTTTACCTCATTTTACATAGTGCTTCCCTCTGCTTGAAATATGCTTCTAATTATCTTTCTGCTATCACTTATCTTTCAGGTGTCAATATCCATACTATTTCTTTCACCCGGAGGGCCTCGATGCCCATCCATAGTGATAAGGCGTCAGTCATAAGGGCATCAGGACCTGATCAGAGCGACTCAGTATCTTGCACCAGATTCATATCTACAGAGTGTCAGTGTCCCTATATCACTACACATTGCTCCCACACGTTTCACTATTGCATTCTGCCAGTAAAAATATACTTCTCCACATACATCAAGCTGACTCTTCCTAGTCAAAATCTAAGAAGCATGCTACTTCATTCAACTGCGGGATGTGTAGGTTTAGGCAACTACATGACATAATGCTCAACTAAAATCCCATTTTGTGTAGTTTTATCTTCAATACACCCAATTCCATGAATATTTCTGCCCGTTCCCCAGACACAAAATTTTAGATGACCCACATGCCAATTTAGATGAACCGCTAGGCATACGGGCAAATCCCAGTAGTCCGATAGGCTGCTCAGGAAATGGCTGCTTTGACTCAGTAGGACATATTTCTGGCTTCCGGTGGTGGAGGTTGGTAAAGACTTTCAGACCCATACCCTTCAAAGAGATAAAAAGAAGTTTTACTTTCCCTTCACAGGAGAGTTGAGAAAGACTATAAATAGATCATGCTAGCAATAATTTTGAGTTCCTAGAAGTTCAGTGATTTGAATAGAGATTTGGTTTATGGGGAAAAAATTTGTAATCTAGAGAGAAATGATAATTACTGTAATTTAGCTAACCCTTATTATGTGTTAGCTCAATGTTAAGTTTTCTACATAATGCCCCATTTAATTCTAAGAGGAAGATAAAAACCACTTAGCATTTTTTAGATAAATAAATATAGGTACAGGCACTATCATGAACTTAATTAGTACTAAACACACAAACATGTACATATATATAATGCACATCTAGTAAGTTGGAGAGCTGGGACTTGAACTAGAGTCAGTCTGATTCTACACTCATTTTCTAATAATCCTACTCCTGTAATTATAAAAGTACTTTTGTGGAGGTCTCGAGATACATAAGTAGTTACACATAACTTGTTATACAGATAGCCCAGAAATATCTTTTGGGTTCTTGATTGAACTATTTATGAATAAAATATATACAATAAATTTGAGGCCTTCATTAATTAAGGCATGGTGTTTTATAATTAAAGCTACATAATTTATTTTCAACAGCAAAAGAAAAACTCAAGAGAAAATAAAATCCCCACTTCTAATATAATTTCTGATTGCTCTACAATCATATTATAGAACAAAAATTAAGTAGAACACTATGTTATTAATAAAACAGATATGTATAATATAACACTAAAATTTGAGATATCCGCTAACACCTTAGTGAACTCACCCAGAGAATGTTGTAGATATCGCCATCTCCATAACTGCTGACAGGTTTATAATAGAGACCATTGTAAAACATATCCTTCTCAGGAATGCAAGGGTCAAGCTGTGCATCCTGCAGGTTGAGACCGTGATAGAAATAACCAGATAGTTCCACGTATGGAAGCAGATTGTACACCTTTGAGAAAAAAAAGCAGATGTTCCTAATTATTGTAAGCAATCGTTTTACAATTTAAAACATGGTAAGTATTGTGCCACGGCCATCTAATCGTATTCTTTTTTCTTTTTTTTTTTGTATTCTTTTTTCTTGACCATGGTCAGAAGACCTGATCTAATAGTTTTGATTTCTTTTGTCCTCCCAACAGAGGAAACCTCCCATTGTTGTTTCATGCAGTCGAGGTCAGGTTCACAGAACTTTTCGGCTTTGCACAGGGCTTTAAAAAAGCACACAAAGGAGAAAAATAAAAAGCTTTATGGTTATCAGGGATTGTAGTGGCTTATGAATAGTGGGAGTTCAGCAGTTCAAAACCCCAGCCATTCTGTGGGCGAAAGATCATGCTTTCTGCTCCGGTAAAGATTTCCAGTCTTTAAAACTCACAGGGGCATTTCTACTCTGTCCTAAAGACTTGTTATGAGTTGGAATTGACTCAGTGGCAGTGAGCTCGGTTTTTAGTTTCATGTTTAAAAGTAAGTTTACTTTTGAGTGTTGGTATTAAAAACCAGAGGTAAATTAAATTTTTGATAAGATTTCAATTTTGTAAAATCTATCCTTAGGAAAGAGAATTACAAGAACTACACGACCAAGGTAAAGCTATCTAAATGCTAAGATGAGGTGATATACATTTATTTTTATTTTTACTCCTCTGTATATTTGCACCTTTTTTCCCTGCCACACACAGGCATCAGTTTAATAAGAATAAGAAAGTTCTCATTATTAAACTTAGCTATAAATGCAACCACACATTCCAATAGTTATTTCTATATATTTATATTAATAAAACCCAAGACACCAAACTAAGTGCCAGCAAGTGGATTTAGACTCATAGTGACCTTCTAGGACAGGATAGAACTGCCCCTGTGGGTTTCCAAGACTGTAATGTTTACCGGAGTAGAAAGCTACCTCTTTCTCCAGGGGAGCAGCTAGTAGATTCAAACTGCTGTGATCTTGTGGTTAGCAGCCCAGCACCTACTCTACTTTGTCACCAGGACTTTGGTAAAGAAAAAGTTATCACAAAGTTACTAACTCAAATAATTTCGATGTAAAATTCTAGAATTGTCATTTATGAAAATATATACTCTATTGATATGTGTAAAGGACTCTTGATTGCGAAATGCTCTGCTGTCAACTGAAAAGGGAGCAGTCTAAGTCCAAAGTTAACTCTTCAGAAGGAGCTACTATAAACAGTCCAGCTTTGGGAAACCTATGGGACAGGACTATTTTGTCCTTTAAGGTCGCTATGAGTTGGAATTGACTTGACAGCAATGAACATTAATTGATAAGACCTACAACCTGATGAGTTGGAATCGACGCACAGGTAGTGAGTATGATTTTTCTTTCTTTGTTCATTTTATAGTCACAGTAGTTTCGATAGCCTCATATGCATGTGAAAGGGGTACAAAAAATAAAGAAGATTAAAGAAGAATTGATGCATTTGAATTGTGGTGTTGGTGATGAATATAAAAAAGATTGTGGCTAGACAGAAAACAAACAAATCTTTCTGGGAAGAAAGCAAGCCAGAATGATCCTTAAAAGTGAGATCGCAAGACTTCATTCCACATGCTTTGGACCTGCTATTAGGAGAAACCCGTCCCTGGAAAAGATATTACACCTGATAATGTGGAGGGTCAGTAGAAAAGAGGAAAACCCTCAATGGGATGGATTGATAAGGCGGTTATACTAATTGGCTGAAACATCAATGGGAAGGCAGTCACTATGAACCATAACCCACTTCTGGGTGCCTCACCACGTATGTGACATGTTGCCCGAGAGACCAGTCCCTGGAAAAGGACATCATACTGGGCAAAGTAGAGGGGCAGGAAAAAGAGGATGACTCTTGATAAGAGAGACTGATAGAAGAGCAAGTATGAGGATAGCGTAGGAGTGGGTGGGATTTTTTTGTTGTTGTACACAGAGTTGCTAAGAGTCAGAACAACAACAAACAACAACAACATAGACACTATTGAGGCATGCTCTTTGACAGATATTTCTTTAAACTCTAGCTTTCCATATCTTTGGTTATCCCTATGATTAAAAAAAAAAAATCACATTGCTACATCATTCCCACATTCCAAATCCATGATAATTATTCAGAGAATTTTATGTTGCTTGGAGCACTGCATCAGCCAAGAAAATTAATCAAACATAAAACTCATGAAGGAATATAGGAAGAGCTCTTTGATAATTTCAGCTTGTCCTATTTAAAGTCAAAAAAGCATTTAAAATACAGGCTTGCATTTGCTTATGTACCCGCTTTGTCTTCAGCATTTGTGTTGGGGTAGGCTGGTGTGCTTCTTCCTTGTGGGTTTTGTTGTTTCTTAACTAGATGGCTGCCTGTTTGTCTTCAAGCCTTTAAGACCCCAGATGCTGTATCATTTGATAGCCGTGCACCATCTGCTTTCTTCACCACTTTTGCTAATGCACCCCCTTTGTCCTCAGCGATCGAGTAGGGACAGGCTGGTGTGCTTCTTCTGTGTGAGTTTTGTTGTCTCTCAGCTAGATGGCTGCTTGTTTATCTTCAGGTCTTTAAGGCTTCGGGTGCTATATCTTTTGGTAGCTGGGCACCACCAGCTTTCTTCACCACACTAGCTTGTGCACCCATTGTGTTCAGTGACTTCAGGTGTTTTATCTTTTGATAGTCAAGCACCATCTGCTTTCTTCACCACATTTTCTTATGCACCCATTGTCTTCAGCGATCATGCCAGGCAGGTGAGCATCTTAGACTGCCAAATTATTAGAGCAAAGTGTTCTTTTGTTGAGGGAGTACTTGTGCAGGGGCCCACTGTTCATCTGTTTTCTTAATACTCAACCTATAAATATATGTACATAGATCTATTTCCCCCTCGTCATATATAAATATATTTACATCTTTATATACCTGTATTTACATCTCTATGACTACCCTTTGCCTCCTAGTTCTTTCCTCTATTTCTTTGTACTTTCCTTTTGTCCCACTATCATGTTCTGCCTTCATTTGGGTTTTAGGAATTCCTCTTGGTGCCAAGCTGTCAAATTACATAGAATCTGGGGTCCCACATGCTGGATGATAAACAAGGGGCCATCTAACTGAGAAACAACAAAGCCCACATGGAAGAAGCACACCAGTCTGTAAGATGACAAGGTGGCAAAGGGATCAGATATCAGGCATCAAAGACAAAAAAAAAAATCATAACATTGTGAATGAGGGTGAGTGAAGAGTGGGGACCCAGGGCCCATCCGGGGAAAATTGGACATCCCTTTGCAGAAGGGCTGCGGGGAGGAGAAGAACCAATCAGAGTGCAGTGTAGCAATGATGAAATATACAATTTTCCTCTAGTTCTTAAATGCTTCCTCCACCCAATTCTACTTTACATATCCGGCTGGATCAGAGGGTGTACACTGGCACAGATAGGAACTGGAAATACAGGGAACCCAGGACAGATGAACCCCCCAGGAACAGTGGAGAGAGCGGTGATATCAGGAGGGTGGAGGGAAGGTGAGGGAGAATGGGGGAAGAGATGATAAGGTCTATTTATGGCCTCCTCCCTGGGGCACGGACAATGGAGAAGTGGGTGAGGGAGACGTCTGATGGGCTAAGATATGATAAAATAATAATATTTTATAAATTATCAAGGGTTCAGGGAGAGGGGGAAGTGGGGAGGGAGGGGAAAAATGAGGAGCTGACACCATGGGCTCAAGTGGAAAGCAGGTGTGTGAGAATGATGAAGTCAACATATGTACTAATGTGCTGGACACAAATGATGTATGTACAGATTGTGATGAGTTGTATGAGCCCCTAATAAAATAATTATTTAAAAAAATACAGGCTTGCAGGAACTGTGATAAACATGAAACGAAGACTTACACTTTCTGCTGACAGCTGCTCTTCCGAGTTCAGTAGAAGAACACTTTTATCCACAGCCCGCAAAGCACAGAGCGAGTCGGGGGCTGCTCGAAGGTAGAGATGAACAGAGGAGCCCGGTGTCCCCTGTTCCGTAGACAAATTTATGCTAACCTAAAGTGCAGCAAGAAAAGGAACAGAGACCAAAATGATTTTCCATGAAGACAACTGGAATATAATCTATCTTTCTCAAATAAATATGTGTACATTTGGGGGCCTCTATTTTTCCTGTCAGTTCTTCCAACTCTTCGCAGCTACATCTCCCTCACAAGGTCCGATTGACATTGCTGCCAACTGATCATTCTCTTTGGTGATTCTCTCCTTCCCTGTGTATTTGTCTATACCAACATTGATGAAGAGATTCAAGGTTACTATGAGACAGAGACCATAGCGGGGGAAATGTTCAGCCTTTTCATGGGGAGCAGGTTACACATAGAAGAATTACCTTGTTTTTAAAGCACTTGTCCACCTGGAATTTGACACTGTCGGCCACAATCTCCCCACTCGGGTGCAGGGTGTACACAAACACAATGGCCACGGGAGCCAGATCAGCATTGATGTTGACAGGGAATGAGAATTTTCCATTCCAGACTGTGTAAATAAGAAAGGCCATCAACTGATATGATGACACCAATTTCCTGGATGACTGGGCACACTTCAATAACACCAGCTGTCTTACAAATAAAAAGAATAAACTGGGCAAATTAAGAATGGGAACACTTACACAGTGACAATATTTGCTTTGGTGACATAACTTTTCTACCATGTACTTGATGACATGGAAAGAAAAGAAACAATCAAAAACCTCCTTCATCAAAGCATTTAAACGCTTACCCTCGGTTATTCTAACTATTGTTCTCCAGCCACATATGCATTCTTTTGAACCTCTTGACTCTATCACTATGATATTTCCTTATGAAGAAAAACAGGGAAGACGAGTGAACATTACAAAGTGAATGTCTTGTACATACTATTGTTCCTGATTTCCTTCTGTCCACTGAAGAGGATGGTTCCTCTTACCATCACCTGTGCAGGACAAAGAAAACGCAATAAGGGACAATATATCTTTAAAACAAATCATTTTATTGGGGGCTCTTACACCTCGCAATCCACACATCCGTACATTGTGTCAAACACATTTGCATATATATTGCCATCATCATTTTCAAAACTTCAGTTTCTTTCTACTTGAGCCATCGTAACAACTCATTTCCCCTCCCCCACCTTCCCTCCTTCATGAACCCTTGAAAATTTATAATTTTTTTTTATATCTTACACTGACAACTGTCTCCTTTCACCCACTTTTCTGTTGTTTGCTCCCCTGGGAGAGGGTTATATGTAGATCATTGTGATCAGTTTCCCTTTCCTCCCCCCACCTCCCTACCCTCCTGGTATTGCTACTCTCATTATTTGTTCTGAGGAGTTTATCTGTCCTGGATTCCCTGTGTTTTTAGATCTTATTTGTACCAGTGTACATCCTCTAGTCTAGCCAGATCTGTAAGGTAAAATTGGGGTCATGATAGTGGGGCAGTGGGGAGGAAGCATTAA